GTCCCGGGTGGCACTCACCGAGGGTACTCAGCCCCAGGAACAAAAACCGCAGCAAGTTGGTCGCTGGGGACCTGGGCAGGGAAACCATGGCCCCCCTTCCTGGCCCCGACGGAGTCAGGGGCGCCGGCTCCGGGACTCAGCGACCGACAGGTGCTAAGGCGGCTCCGCAGCTGGGGCGGACGCGAGAGCCCGGCCACTGACACCAAGGGCGGCTCTAGCCGGAGTCTGTGCGCGCGTGTCCCGCCGGCAGGGTGGGGACCGACGGGGACAGGGGGGCGGGGCGTCCGGAGGGGGCGGAGAGGTCGCGGTCTCCCCGGGCGGGGCGTGCGGGTGACCCTCCGCGGGCGGGGGTTGGGGAGGGCTCCCGCGCTCCGACGGCCGGACCTCGCGGCCTCCGCCTAGGCAGAACGCAGGGTGGGGTCGGGTAAGTGGCGGTGTCCCCACAGCCCCCACAGCCGGCCGGGGGCCAGGGGAAACGGGAAGGTCCCGAACTGCCACACTGGGGCCATGCCCTCCCCCCTCCGCTCGCTTGGGGTGGGAACGGAAGACGGGGAAGGGAGGGAGGTCTGGGGATCCTCCGACGTCCAGGAGCCACCCGCACGCCTGACACCGTAGCCGGCCTGGGCTCTGGCTCCGGGCTTGGGGGGACCGCGTCCTCGGACTAAGCGGGACAGCCTTCCTGGAGGAAGAGGGGAGCCGCGTGGTCCCGGAGCCACTGCGCTTCCGAAGTGTGTGGGGCGGAGCGGCGGGAAGGGGCGCGGTTCTCCCGCCCGCAACAGCTGCTTTCCTCGGAGCCGGGCGGGGAATAGATGCGGCCGCCCCGCCTCCACCGTGCCTTGCAGGGCCCCCCGCAGCTGCCACCCGGCAGGCCTAGGGCCGCGCCCGCAGGTGCGCGCGGGGACCGTCTGCACCTGCGGGCGGCGAAGAGAGGCGCTCTCCGCAGGTCCTCGGAGACCCCCTAAAACCCAGCCCTCAAGGTGACCGGGTCTTGTGCCTCACACCCCTAGCAGGGAAAGGACTGGAGCAACGCTGAGCAGGAAACTGAGGAAACAGGAGCCCGGCTCCCAGCTCCTCGCCTCCAGCCAGAATGGTTTATAGGCCTTACGCTGACTGGGGAGGAAGGAGCAGCTGTGGGAAGGTAAACTGGACAAAGTCCCCCCATTTCTTTATCCTTGTATCTTCACTGCCCCTTATCCGTCACCGTGCCGGCTCTGATCCTTTAATTCCCGGGACTAGATCGCGTTCGCTGCGAATTTAATTTAACCGTTCCGCCCCCCACACTCTCGCCCCTCCGCCGGGTCTGTCCAGAGGCACCTCTGCGCCCTCTGGCGGCCGCAGCTCCCTTACAGAAGGGGACGCACCTGTTCTCGCTTCTCTGTCCAACAGCCAAAATACAGATGCTTCAAACATCCGGGCACAGCTTAACCGCCGAGCAAAGGTCACCGGGGGCAGAAAGCATAACAAAGAATCCTTGGCGCTGCCTGCTCCGAGTGGCAGTGGACTGGGAAGAAAAGCAGTCAGGGCTCCGATTCCATTTACTCCACATACAGTTCTGCACTGTTTTAACACCGAGTGTGGTCCTTGTGTTTGCACGGCACAAGATCTTTTTGTACACAGTGCCCCACAGACCCTTTCAGATGCCTCTTTCTAGCGTGACTTTGCTGGCTGCTCTTCAAATACCTGCCATGCAGTGGCTTTGAGCAATGCCTATGCAAACACCAGACCACTCATGTAACCCCTGGAATCTAATACTTGGCAGCTCAGCGGCAGCAAAGGCAACAGAAATAGATTACTGCCAGTCTCATACTTTTATTCGAGGACCTACAAGCTTAGACTGTCAAGGTGTGTTTTGTGTGTGTGTGTGTGTGTGTGTGTGTGTGTGTACTAGGGGAGGGGGCTGTTGGTTTGGTTTTTCTATTCTGTCACACTCAAATTTTCCTTTAGTTTACACTGCAAACCAGCTCCTGTAAACATTCCTCCTTCATTTCCACACCAGGGTTAATGTACCCCAAATAAGTAACTCCCTCCAAGAAAGTACAAAGTCTTTCGGCTGCATCTCAGGAACACCAAAGCAACTAATTTCGCAGGCTGTGCTCATACCTATCAAGTGCTATATTAGAGCCTCAATATACACACTCTCTGTAGCCAACTTTTCCTTTGGAATTTAGATCCCAAATAACTTGCAACATCAGAAGTAAAGCTGCAACCAAAGATGTGTAGGCAGTGAAAATCTCCATGTGACACAGGGGCAGTCCTGTGAGGACTCTTTCACCGCCCTTGACCCCAACCAAAACATTTCTCACTGGAACGCCTATTCCAACCACTTCTTTCTGCTGACCCTGAGCCAAAGTGACAGCAGTTAGCAGAGCAGCTCTATTCCTTTCTGAAAGTGCCAAGATGCATTTTGGGACGAACCCTATTCTCTACCCTTGTGTAAAATGAGAATGTTGGCAGATAACCCGTGAGTGACCTGGAGCCTGCTTCCACAACATGTTGCATGCAAGAGCTAAGTTCATAGTTCGTATTTAAGAGACGTGCAGGTCACTAGTATTTCTTCCAATTATACCTCATCTCATATCTCAAAGTATCTTCTCATGCTGATTCTTATGTCTGAACATAGGGTCTCCGTCCCCCTTGACTCATTATAAGGCTTCATTAAAGCCCCCTCACCCCCCCCCCGTTTTATTTTGCAAAGCTCATATAGTTATCTGATTCCCTGCTATCCTCTCTTCTAGATTGTTCTGGCCAAAGAAACTAGATATTCAGTTAGCAGCAGCTACTTTCTTTCCAAGCGTCCATTTCCCAGTGTTCAGTTTTGTCCTCTTGCCGCTACGGCTCATCCGTCCGAAGCCAAATGGTGAAAACATACTGGATCCTGGATCCAGTCTTGGCCATCTTCTTCGTGCTGCTCACAGTGGTCTAGTAGTGCCCCATTCTCAGTAATGTTAGGTCAGTCTGAAACATCCTCACTAAATGTTCCCCAAATGATCTGCCCCAGCTAAGTAACTAAACAGCAGCAGGAAGTGGGATAGAGTGGAAAAAATGCCTGAAGCACATTGGTTTGGGGGTTTGTCAGTGGCAAAGTTTCGGGGATACCGTGTGGTACTCTGGTAATGCATTTTCCTGCAGCACTTAGCGCTGAAATATTAAGAAATTACTGCTATAAGATGGTCAGTGCAGCCTCAGCCTTTAGGTCTGTAATTCCAAGTTCCAAAGAAAAGCAAGCTCATGAGAATTTCATAAGGCCCATACCTACAGACTGTACCTAGGGAGAAGAGGTGCTACACTCAAATTCCAAGAATATTTATACTCTCACTGAACTAGCATCCATTAAAAAAAATTATTTTCAGTAATCTCTACCCCCAATGTGGGGGTTGAACTCATGACCCCAAGATCAAGAATTGTATGCTCTACCAACTGAGCCAGCCAGGCACCCCAACTAGCAAACCCTGTTTAGCAGCTTCTATCAGAAAACAGCCAACTCCTTAAACCCAGACTAAAATGACATTCATAAGTCATCCCACTGATTAGAAGCCCTCTAGCCATTTGAAAAATAAGCTTCAACAAGCCAAGAGGTATCAGGATGAGAAAATCACTGATTTGAGACCAGGGTGCAGGAAGGAAAAGAATATTTTTTATCAATGTGCAAGTTTATCTTCAATAGTATTAAAAATGGGGAAAATTAGAGCTGTTACCTGGATTTGCAGTCAGTGTAAAGCAGAGCACCTGAGAGATGCTGGGGGACTCATTAAAGATAAATCATCAATCTAACAAGTCTTGGCCATAAGACCAAAGTGATCCTTGACTGCCCTTCTAGTAATCTAGTCGTTAGTGAAGAGCACTAACCTCTAAGTAAAGTGCTAGTTGATGCAAAGAAATCCCTGAGAGATCGAAATGTGATAACCACTTTCCTAATGGACTTCTTTCTTACAACCTCCTATCCTGTGGATCACTTTCAAAAATGTTTTGGGTGTTTCTATTGGATCGTCTCTCCTTTTTTGTAAACAGCATGATGACAGTTCTCCACTTGTACTCTTTGAGAGAGTCGCCCCTGACTACTGAGTGTAAAGATGAGGAATGAAAATCTCTTACAAATTCACACGCTTAGGGTCAGCAGGAATATCCTAGTCATTTAAAAAAAAAAAAAAGGAAATATGAAATGAAATGCCCCATTTGTTCCATACATTCTCAGCTCTGCTACAAAAAGCTCAACTAGTACTCCAAGAGGTCAAGAATTACTTTAATAATTTCTTTGTTAAAAAGTTTAAATGGTAACACAACCATAAAGTTGGTACATCACAGAAACAAAGGTCTTTGCAGGCAACACTGATCGGGAATAGCAAAACACTTGGTTGGTGAAAAAAATGAAACTCTAAATTATATACAATATAGCTAAGGGTGATATTGAAAAACAGTCTTATTTACGGTGACTCAAGATTTAACTTGCCATTATCTATTGCTTATTTATTCAGGGTTGTAAATAACACTTATATAGAGACATAGAGATGTGTAAAAATGAAACATTGTGAAAAAAATACAATTTTTCAATTTCATATGAAACTCAAAGTATAAGTTTGTCCAATATGGAATGTACCTACATTTGTTTATATTAGGGCTCTAAAATCCATTTAAAAATTGTTTTTTGTTTTTAAAAAAGAAACAGTTGACCCACCATGCAAGTTCGCTGTATACCTTGTTTGCTCAAAATGAGCATTTTCAGGTGAGGTCTGTTTTTTCTGCCCCAAGTCTAGTATGATTCCATAGAAGTTGTACTGGCCCAATTGTGGAAAGAATTCCCATGAAGAGTCTGATGGCAGCATCTGGATGAGGGGCAGTCTGAGTAATGGAAAGTGAGTAGAGAAGAGAGAGGTAAGAGCCCAAATCCTTATGAAGGATGACATTCAGTTGTTAAATTTTAAGGGGTATCCAATGGCTTTTTCCAGGCACTCAACTAAAGAGCCAGCGGAAAGAAAATCCCTCTCTACTTCAACAAATTTGATATAGATGGATTTGGGGGAAACTCCAGGATCCACAATACAGTTCTGAGACAAAAACCCATTAATACCAACCCAATCTTTGCTGAAGGTTTTGGTATTTGCTTGGAAATGTAAAAATAAGCATTGCTGGAGAGTCCTGACCTCAGCAATCCCGAGGTAGCAATAGATTATTCGGGTGGGTTCGATTTCCACCTGTAATGAGGCTTGTGCTGACAGGGTCTCCAAGTCAACCCGGCCCTCCTTTCCTGGGTCTAGGGAACGTCGCTCCATGTGGGGTGAGGGGGGCCTCTCAATACATTCTTCATAACCAATGGCATAAAGGCCTGGACTTTTGGGAATGCCTCCTGGTAATAAATATTGAACAACGTTCCCACCAGTTGGTTTGGAATGGGCGATGGGTATCCAGTCAATTTCCATGTGCAGCTCCAGGCACCGAGCTTCACTAATGGTGATCTCTAAAAATTTGTAGTAAACATTTTTCCAGTTCATTTTCTGCACGCGGGTCATAATGATCCGTCCCTCGGGCTTCTCGGAGTTGAAGTACTCCCGGAGTCGCTTGCCCAGGGGCACCTGGGAGCTGATCTCAGCATAATGGTAACGGATATCCTCTTTCCAACGGGTGTTATAACCAATTCCAAAAATGGCCAGTTTATTAGAAAGATGAAGCCTTGAAAAGTCTGTCCAGCTCTGAAACAGTTCCCATTTCAATTGTACTGATTCCAAAATCTGTACAATATTTTGCATGATGTCTCTCTTCCTGGAAAGAGAAACACAAGTCAAGTTCTTCAGGTGTCTAGATCAGCACTGTCCAACACAACTTTCTGCAATGATGCAAATGTTCTACATCTGTGCTGTCCAATATGGTAGCCATTAGCACTGAGAATGTGGCTAGTGTGAGTGAACTATTACATTTTTAATCATAATTTGAAATTAAGTTTAAATAGCCACATGTGACTAATGGCTACCTTATCAGACAGTGCAGGCCTAGATAATCATAGTATTAAAATCTGAGAAACACTCTTTCTAGGAAATTTCTAGGAATTAATGACAAACTGCTTTCCATTACTTCTATAGTCTGGCCGTATTAAACCTAGTAACTATTGATACGTTAAGACCCTAGGGTTTCAGAAATCCAAGGATCAAGAGTTTTTAAAAATTATTATTATTAACTCCACTAGTGTTAACATAGTGTCATATTAGTTTCAGGTGTACAATATAGTGATTCAACAATTCCATACATCACCCAGTGCTCATCACAAGTGCACTCCTTAATCCCCCTCAGCTATTTCACCTATCCCCCACCTACCTCCCCTCTGGTAACCCTTTCCCTTTGCTTGTATGTTTCTTAAAATCTGCATATGTGTAAAATCATATGGTATTTGCCTTTCTCTGAGTGACTTATAAAGTGGCTGTTATAATGCACATGGTGGCCTTCAGACCTAAGTACCAAAAGCAGACAAAGGATGCTGTATTCAAAAAGGTATTCAGTATCAATTAAAATAATGAACAGCTTAATTTCTAACCTGGAAATTCTTAAAGTTCAATAATTTTGGCCCATATGTGTTTGCTGTAGGAAAATATACAGTTGATTAGGACTAATGACCTCATGCAAAAACAAAATGACATTTTCTATTTGTCTAAAATTCATTACTACTGGGGCGCCTGGGTGGCTCAGTCGGTAAGCGTCCGACTTCGGCTCAGGTCATGATCTCACGGTCCGTGAGTTCGAGCCCCGCGTCGGGCTCTCTGTGATGACAGCTCAGAGCCTGGAGCCTGCTTCAGATTCTATGTCTCCCTCTCTCTCTGACCCTCCCCTGTTCATGCTCTGTCTCTCTCTGTCTCAAAAATAAATAAACATTAAAAAATAAAATAAAATAAAATAAAA